TTCTTTTTTTTTTTTTGTCGCGAATGATTGTATTATGCAGCGTATTTGCGCGAAGGATAATCGCGATACCCAACCGAGGAAAAAGACGCGCGAGTTATAAACGCGTGTCCGCGACATCGTGGAAGAATGTAATTTAAAATTTAAATTGCCGACAATGTTGATTCGAACACGTCTGATAGCGTCTTGTTACGATTTTAGATGGAATCCGATTAAACGGACTCCCGCCGACTGAATCTACTTATCCGGGCGTGGACTCCGATTGTTTGAACGAGGAACAGATATTAGGGAAAATCGAGAAAGATAGTAAAGATGGCAAAGGTAAATATTTCACAGAAAAAAAAAAAAAAAAAAAAAATGAAAAAAAAAAAATTTGTTTTAAAAAATTAAAAAAAAATTTTCTCCTTCACGGCTCAGCTATTAACCTTTGAAAATTTCTAACAGTGGAGAGAATTTATAAATTCCTATTGCATAAACCGTTTGTCCTCTAATGAGTCTTAGATAAATAAAATTCAATCACCAACAACATTAACTTGACAGCTTAAAACGTTTCGAAGATTGAAGCATCCGCTGACACTAGGCCGCGTGAAAACGAAGGATTTTCCATTTTCAGAAACCAATTTCGAATATGCTCGATGATCGGAGCGTGCGTGGAACCTTCTCGACGAGGATATAACCGATTTGTTTTAAAGCTGTGAAAGTAGCCGCGCCAGTAACAGTGGTGGTACACGAAGAAGAAGAAGAAGAAGAAGAAGAACATGAAGAAAGAGAAGAAGGAGCAGGAGGAGGAGGAGAAGCAGGACGAAAAAGAGGCTGAAGAAGAAAGTAGATGGGGCAGGCGCGATCCATTAGTAGACACGTCAATTCAGCTCTTAAGAAGCGACTGACTTAAAGCCGCTTCCATCCATCTCCTTTTTTCGGCCGCTATCTCTCCTCGTTCTTCCACCATCCCTTCGTCGTACTTATTAGCGGAGGGCCGGGCCTCGCCTTTAACCTTTTTTTTTTTCCTTCCTTCTCGCACGCGGTATCATAATTAATGATAATTCGATTAGCGGAACAAGACTTGGACTTTGCCTAAGCAGCCTCCGTTCTTTCTTTCGGCTTTTCTTCTTTCCTCCCTCCCCGTCCCCCCTTTTTCCCTCCCTTCAATTCTATCCTCTATCTTCCTATCGGCCTCTCTGATGTACCTTCTCCTCTCGATTCCAGTCGAACCGCGAACTCGATTATTGTCAACCTTTGTAGACGACGTTACCTACGTCTGGCGCCTCTACGATTCGCTCACGTTAGATTTCTCTCGCTGCAAGTTTCTATTACTTGCATAAAAAACAAAAAGGTGTTCTCGCAGTAGATTTTCACTGGAAAAAACGGACGACGTCTTACGCGGTCTGAGGAATTTAAGGTCCAATTTTCAATCATTATTTACACTTTCTTCGTTATTTAAGTACGTGCATCCGCCAGTGGAACGTCCGATCGGTTATCTCCCATTAAGACGTCCTCCAATCATGAATTACGATTTCGTATTTGACGACGTCTTGTTCTTTGATCGTTCTCTGCTCGCGCCTCGATCGGATCGAACGTACGATCAAATAAAGATAAATCGACGGGCTACTTGGTTGCTACCAAGCGCCAGCTTTCGACGTGATGGACGAAGCGAAACGATCACGCTATCGGAACGCATTAATCGGTGCAAAAAGCGACCCCCCCCGGGGGAGGGAGGAAGGGATGAAAAACGCGAAACAAATAAATCAAAAAGTCATTGACGACGATGACTTTCTTTCTCTCTGCGCAACCTCGGGGATCGATCTGTCCGATCGTCTACTTTACATAGAGAGCCGATTACAACCACGCTCTCTCTCTCTCTCTCTCTCTCTCCCTCTCTCGGGTGACAAACGACAAGTACATTATGCAAAAGCGTTTCGGTGATCATTTACGGTAATCCAGTCGCGACCAACGAGATTACACGAAGCTTGGAGATACGATAAACGGAATATCGAGCCTCGGGACCGGAAGTCGAGCCGGCAACGGTTGCCGATTCTCGTGGTGTACCACTCGTGTATCATCGATTGATATTGTATCTCTTTCTCTCCTTCTCTCTCCCTCTTCCTCTTCGAGCCCGTAATTTTTTCGTTAACGGTGGCTTTCGATGACGCAGTCGGGAGGTAAAAAAGAAACGAAAGCAGCGCCCGTACGAAATTGTTTTGTCGATTTTGACCCTTTCGGGCGAGAGTGTTGCGTCGATAGCTCCGGGAACGCGTGCAGCCGATACAGAATGACATAATAAAGGACAGCCGGTGGCTAGAACGTTTTCGCGACGACAATCGAGACGACGATTCGAGAAGGACGACCGCTCGTTCTCGAAAATTGAAATTATCGGATATATATCGTCCCGACCGATACGGAGAGAATGTTTCAGAACGATTAATTAGTCGCGTACACTGACGCAGCGTGTCGTCAGACAATCGAATGTTGGCAATATCAAAGATTTTTTAATTACACGCTAACATTGCTCGATGCATTCGCTTCCGAATTCGTCGAGGAATTAAAAAAAATGATGATCAACGCGATCATAATTCGGAAGGTTGCTGTGGTAATTGTAGAAGATTAAGAGGTTTAGATAGATACATTTTAATTACAGGTGAGATGAGTTCTTGATACGTTGTAGATAAAAAGAAAAAAAATCGTAACTTCGTTGCTTTTATGTCATTGGTATTGTTTAACCAGGTGCTTGTTCGTGTTAATCGAGCAAAAGCTTACTTTGAAAAATTCTGTATCACCAATCGTTTGTTTTAATATTCTCCAAAGTACAAAACAACGTGCACACAAGAGTATGTAACTCGTAAAAGGAAAAAAGAAAAAATGAAACGATGTCCCGTAATTTGTTTTAATTCCTTTATATCATCTTTTGGATTCTAAAAATCTAAAATTTTACTCTATAGTTGGTTCATTTCATATACCTATTTCTATAACAGTTTCTCGTTCAACTTCATCATGTGCCACATTAATTATTTGACGAATAAACGATTCTTTAAAGCGCTGCGAATATTTAAAGAGCCAACAAAAGATCTGTTGAAAGCACGAATAATTCAAGGCAAGATCAACGTCGCAGGATTTCGATCAAACGGCGAGTTAAATTTGTCGAATATATTTTGACTGAAGCCGGCGAAGTGCGGTAGAGGCAGGTGTTCTGTTTAATAAGTACTTGAATTGCATTATCGGATTCAGATATTGCGTCGCGCAGACATCGTTCAGGTCATCGAAGGATTTCAAATTCCAAAGAAATCTCGATTGAACGTATAGGCTAGTATAGAACGCGATTAGACGCGCCATGGACCACCATGGTTCCAAAGGCAATTATATTTCCCAGCATCCGTGAACCTAACTGAGCGTGTTAACGCATTACAATAATTAGCGTTAGCTAAGCAAGGAAAAGGCGCATTACGGTTTTCCAAGATAAAATTATCGCCAGCGCCATCGCAATTTGCCTAACCAACGTATCATTAACCGAGCTGATCGGAAGAATGTTGTCACGCACGCGGGATGCCAATTTATTTGTTGCGCTAATCGTGGCGGACGTGTCGGAGCAACTGGCGTATCGTTAGCCTTAATTGCTCCAAATATTGCTGCCAAAGGTATTGAAAAGATATCCACTAAGTACGATAAAACGATGCTCTGTGACTTTAATTTTCGCTCAATAATTTTCTAATAATCGAAATTCGTCGTCGTTGTCCTTGATCTGTCAAAGAAATTAAAACGATGCAACAGCAACGAAACGACGTTTCGTACATTTCAATTTTCATCTGATAATCTTCCATTCGATCGGAGTGTTGTTGGACCAGTTGGATCAGCGATAGAAAATATCGCGAGATTTTTACTAAAAGCGGGCAGGCTTCGATGGATGCTCGCTCGTTGCCGTACGATTAAATCAAATTCTCGTTTCGAGTGCAGGATAACCGTGAAACCCAGTAATTGGATGAAATGATTGATCGAAGCTGCTTTATTAATAAGTCTCCGAGGGTAACTTGAGCCGTTTTGGGATTTGGGATCCGGCGTGCCGGATCCGTGAGATACACTGCGACAGAAACGCTCGGGACTGGGTTGCTTCGTGGGTCTATCAATCCGACGGACGGAACGTGCCACGTTTCTATTAATTATATCGTATCAGTTGGTTTAATTTAAAGTAACGTTGACAGACGCTGTTGACTCTAATGGATTGAATTTGCACGCGCGTATTTTGACTCTTCTTTCCACTCTGTGCTATTTTACTAATCAAAGATGAATCAAAAATGAACGTACCGTTCCAATTTGAAAGCAATATGGAAAATGTAAGATACTTCGAATCTATTAAATTATAAAGTACACCGCGATTAAACTTGGATATCGAGTGATGTTTAAATTAATTAAACGCGTGTACTTGTTCCAACATTTACATCGTGAAATTCTCTAAAATTCGTTGCAAGAGCAATAAGGCGCGATCAAATGACAACGTCGTTCCTTTCTAAGTGAAATGAGCCAGTCGTTCAGACGACAACGTAGCAGCGAACGTTACCTGCGTTTTCCTGCGTGTCGCGAGCGTTATCCTCCATTTCCTGGTGACTCCTCTTGTTGTTCGCCAGTCCGAGAATCGCGTCGATGCTGTGCCTAGGCGTGCTGCTCGCTGGCTTCGGCAGGACAATGTCCTGGCTGTTCTGAGACGCGGTGTCGACCAGCTGCTGCGAGTCCATCGTTGAGAATCCAATGTACGATCCTGGATCGAGCTACCGTTTGGCCTGCTAGCCCGTTCCTGGCGAAGGAATCTCGTCGGCGATCCTTCTCTGAACGCACTACTGCTGAATCGGGACACGAAATGACTGTCCTGGACACGTGAATTCAGAATACATTTTGAGGCTGGTTGCTCCACTACGCGATTCTTCCTCTTCTTCGTTGTCGCAAGATCCGTCCTTGAAGGGTACACTTGGAGTAGTTATATATCGGAACAACACCTTGTTGATCGTTTTTCTACACAAAGCTCGTCGAATATAGCTCGCCTATTTGTTCAGTCATCGTCATAATATTTACGCGATGGTTTACGGAATTCTGATAACTGTACCGTTAGTTTGAAACGCATTTCATGGATTGATCCTTGCCGCACCACAACACTAATTCGAGTTTCGTACCTTTCTTTACTTGCCAGCTTCTCCTCGGCACTCTACACGACGTTCAATTTCCTCTTCTCACTCTTACTCAGGCGACTTACTCGATGGAAGAACCAGCGGGAAAGGCTCCAAAGGCGTCATTTGTGCGAGGAACCTCTCTCAGGATTGTTCTAGGCATCGACAGAGTCTTCTTTCCCCCAACGATGTTCCTGTCCAACGAAATCCAATCTAACGGCGCCAAGTTCTCGTCATCCTAGCAAACCACCTGGATCACGTGCATGCGTGCAACGGTTCTCGAGGCCTGAGCAACGAGAAAGTGGAGCAGGCGAGTGGAGTCGTGCAGGAAGCAGCGTGTCGTGCGGCGAGGCAGCGGCTGCGGGCCAAAGGTGAAATAAAATTGTCGCCCCGGCTAAGGTCGAAGTTGTTGAGCGTGCGTCGTGCCAACGAGGACTAGTCGGTTGGTCGAGCAGCGGGGTGACCTTTGTTGTAGCTGCACACAACTACTCGCGCCGAAGACGCTCGTTGGAAAGAGGTGGTCCAGAATTTGTCGGTCGAGGCGTGGCTTGGTTCGGCGAATGAGCTTCGCTGTTCGAGGGATTTCGAGCCAATCGGGCCTTGGATCCGGGAACATGGCGAGAACAGTGGTGCTCAAACGCCACTGGAAACCGTTTCACCCTCTCCCCCGTGGCGTTTAGGTGGGGTTAATTCGCAGGGGTAGAAGAGGTGGACTCGAGTCGGGCTTCTGTGACACCGTACGTCCACCAATTCCATCGTCTCGTACGTGTACGCGGCTTGTCGTAGTGTGTGGCGAGAGCCGGCTCGAGGGATGGATACACACTCGAGGGGTGGCTGTGCGCGCACACGCGCGACACAGAGGGGTGGCTCGCGTAAACCGACGCCGACCACGCACACGTACATGTACACGTACACGTCCTTCACACAGGCGAGACCGGCGAGGCTTGATTCTTGCGGCGGATTCTGGCATCCCCTGTAATTGCCAGAAATGAGGTAAAGCTTACCGCTTACGCCAAGCCTCCTACGCTTCTGGATGCTGGAAGCGTTCGGGCCGGGACTTGCCGCGCGCGCGCTACCTGACCGCGTTACGCGCGCATTACGCGTGCACCAGACGCCCGCGATTTTTCCGAAGACGCTCGGTTAAGCTATTTAACTCGCCTTCGCCCCCACCGACCGAGCAACCGCCACCGCTACGCGGCATGACAACGTTTCAACGGCGTAATTGCTTCGTCTCGATCCTACTCTCTGCCTCCGTTGTTGGATAATATCGTTGTGCTTTCGTCACAGAGTTGAAGAGATCATTTCACTTTTGCACAGTGCACGATAATTGATCGTGGACGATTTTCTCGTACCTTGTCCTTTGATAAGGGTTAATACCACGGACGAATAGCGCGAAATTTTTGGAGTAATATTATTGATCTTATTGTGTCCCTATTGTTGTGCTTTCGTCATAGAGTTGGAGAGATCTTTTCACTTTTGCACAGTGCACGATAATTGATCGTGGACGATTTTCTCGTACCTTGTCCTTTGGTAAAGGTTAATACGACGAACGAATTGCGCGAGATTTTTGGAGTAATATTATTGATTCTATTCTGTACCTATTGCTGTGCTTTCGTCGTAGAGTTGGAGAGATCTTTTCACTTTTGCACAGTGCACGATAATTGATCGTGGACAATTTTCTCGTACCTTGTCCTTTGGTAAGAATTAGTACGACAAACAAATTGAGCGAGATTTTTGGAGTAATATTATTGATTCTATTCTGTACCTATTGTTGTGCTTTCGTCATAGAGTTGGAGAGATCTTTTGCACAGTGCACGATAATTGATCGTGGACGATTTTCTCGTACCTTGTCCTTTGGTAAGAGTTAATACGACGGACGAATAGCGCGAAATTTTTGGAGTAATATTATTGATCTTATTGTGTCTCTATTGTTGTGCTTTCGTCATAGAGTTGGAGAGATATTTTCACTTTTGCACAGTGCACAATAATTGATCGTGGACGATTTTCTTGTACCTTGTCCTTTGGTAAGAATTAATACGACGGACGAATTGCGCGAGATTTTTGGAGTAATATTATTGATCCTATTCTGCCTCCGTTGTTCGATAATATTGTTGTGCTTTCGCTATAGAATTTCACTCGTATACAATTCTTTTCATTTTTGTATAATATACGAAGGTTAGTACGACGAACCAAGTGCGCGAGATTTTTAGAGTAATATTTTTAGAGCAGCGTACCATATATGTAGTTCGATTAACTCTTCCGAGAATGATAATGAAATTTTTCAACCATTTCTATTTCACGATTGTGGGAGAAAAATTGTGCAGCCAGTGTACCTAAATATTCTGCACAGTGTTTTTCGATTGTTAAAATACATAAATTAAGTCTCGTCAGTTTCTGCGATACGAGAGAAAAAAAAAAAAAAAAAGAAATATCGCAGACTGATGTTAATTCCACAAGTTTCAAAGAAACTTTTTCGTAAATGAGAACAATCCGCGAGACGAGACTTTCCGAAATATTTCTCAAAAAATGGTTCATGGCACATCTCGTGGTTCGGTGGTGCGCGCTATCGAAACCGCAGAGCCACCGATTTTTATCTCGATTTCCTTCCCACGAAACTTTCGGAATTAGCCCCGTGACAAAGAGACAAGGTTTCGCGGACGATGGTTTCCAGTTGTCTGGAACGACGACGCGCGGATTGTTTCCTGTTTCTCCTTTTTTCTTTTTCTTTTTTTTTCCCCTCGATCGTTCGCGCACGGGAAACCGGCGAGCACAAAACAAATCCCCGTTTCCCATTCCGCATTCGATTCCGCGTATCGTTGTTACCATTTGGCGTTTTAGCCCAGGGGGAAGTGTACGCCCACAAAACCGCGCCACAAAAGATATCCGCCTGTAGCGAAACAGTAGCTGCTCAAAATCGATCCGTCGAAAATCGAGGCAAATTATACGTTGCGGACCGATTCACCGCCCTCCCGTTGTAGAAAATCCCACCCCGCGCGTACAGAACCCACCGGTCCACGCGTCCCGATTATAATTGTCCGGCGAAATAATGCGTCAGCGTTCCACACACCGTGGACGCATAAACGTTCTATGTTACAAGTAATTGGACTTCGAAACGAATCGATACGCGGCCGGTGTCGTTTACGTTTCTATCGTGGTAATTTCAGGGGGTGAGAACGTGAAATTCACGTTGCGGTTTTCTACGATTACTCAACGAAAGATGCAAGCGCAGTCTCGATGATTGGTAGCGCACGTTCGCGCAGGAAAATTTGCAAATACAATCTATGCACAAAATGAAACTCGCAATAGAGAAAGTTGTCGTCGCTATCGTCGCGTTGAAACTGTTCTCCCTTTTCAGATTATTGTTCGCGCGTGATAACTCAATTTCGTTCCAGCGAGTTGCGTATAACAGACGGATTTTTTAATAGCGTACCATGGAATTACGATATAATAATTTCCTCATCGATCTCGCATTGTCGTTGATATTCGCGTCGATGCCACGACTGTAGTAAACCTAACTGAAATTGATTTTCCTCTTTAATTTTCAATTACGTGATTATAGAGCTTTATTGTTAACAACTATACAGACACATGGACGACAAAATTTCACAGACTAAAAATCTGTTCGTCGCCATCCTACGTTGGTATACCTGTGATACAAATATCGTACTAACTACGAACAGAATCGAGTGATGTAACGTACACGAGCGACTGACAATGGACGTGTAAATCTACATCGATCCTCTCGAGAGATCTTTTATACGTAATGTAACGCGTTTCCCACGTGCCGGTCGTCGTGCGTGGCGTTTACGCGCGTTAACAGGCGGCAATCTCGGCCACGAATCTCGCTAACCCCCGTGCACGAGGAAGAGGAAAGTGCTTTTAGGTTCTCTGGAATCAGATCACAAGTTGCATTTAACCGGATCCCACTTACCGCGATAAATATCTGCCGGAGGGAGCCGGGCCACGTTACCAGATCGACGCGTTTATTTCGTGGCTCAGCCCCCGGTTCGAGCCAGAACTGCAGCACTTAGCTCCAGTTTTAGCTAATTTCCTGAATGCTGATCCTCGACCAGAGGAAAGCTCGAGGAACCCCGGAATACCGTTCCTCCGGCAGATAACTCTCGTTGCTTGGAAAAACTCAGGTAGCCTCCGCAACGGTCAAACAGGATTTACCCTGTCTTTGACATTTTCCGAACAGCTGATACCGATCCCGACTTTCCCCGAGATAAGCGACTAATTCCACTAATTTTTAAACGTCGCACGAGACGGACGAGAAAGAATAGGTGTACACAGGTACGTGCTATCGTGGATAATCTTAATTCTTTGTATAGAGAAAGAGTCCTTTCTTGACACGAACAATTCATACAAACGAGACTTAACGAATTTTCTTTACTCTCTAATTCAAACGGTGAGTAGCAATTTCAATTCTTTCTGTCATTCCTGATGAATTCAATTCTTCTTATTAATTTCTAATTCTCTGTTCATTCTTGAGAAAACAAATAGCTATATCCATATGTGAAATGGAGGAATGTCGTCATTTTGCTACTCCAAGAATTCATCCATTATCCATTTAAAAATCACAGCTAAGAAGATCCCGTCGCATTACACGTTCTCTCTGCCACGATCTTCTACGACGTGAAACACCGTTCCGTGTCTCCTATGGAGCGAAAGAATTTCATACACTCTCGAGAAACTGTCTCGAGGAGAAGGCCCATTGAGCCTCTAATAAAAGGAACAAAATCGAATCTCCTCGAAATTGGCTAAAAATCCCCGTGCATGGGAAAGCCCCGTGAACGAAACTGTTCATTGTGGAGCGTCTTAGAGCGTCGTTGATCGGGATCGATCGTTGGTCAACAATGGCGCGTGTCCACCGCCGTCGAAAGGAGCAACCGCGCACTCAATCGGTAGATGGACCAAGAGGAACTGTTTGCAAATCGGAACGCGAGCCTACCGAGACACAGCCATAATAAAGGAGAAACGGTGGAGCCTACCGGCCTCTATTCACGAAGACGTGAATCCTGCGAGGCAGGCAGCTGCGTGGTGGCCCCCGAGATGACCGAGATAAGTCTAATTTCGTTGTGTCGGCCATTGAGAACGTTTGCACGCCGCCGGGAATCCGCTCCAATTTTCCACGGGCCGATTCTTCTTCGGGTCTGTTGGTAGCTGGCTCGTTACAGGGGTGCGGTTGTTGTTGCGATCACGCGAGGTGCGAAATAGAGAGGCAAAGGAAGCGGGATGAAAGGAATCGACGAGTGATCGCTGGCGATCGTTGCCGAACGACCGTGTTTTCCGCGCACGGGATCGCGGAAGAAAAGCTTGTTTGGTTTACCGTAGCCACGGGTGGCGTTGCTCGAGGGGTTTTGTGAACATTAGACGGATTTCGCGACAGGTTTTGAGAAAACTCTCAGCGGGCGATCACAGCGCGACG